AAGGATCGTTATGAATTAGAACTTACTCTACGGCACTTGACACTTAGCAACAACATCCTGGTGTAGGATAAGCACTGGACTACTAACCAAAAGGCTGGTGGTTCAAACCCACCAGTCGCTCCTTGGAAACCCTGGGCTGTGTCACTATGAGTCAGAACCGACTCAAGGGCACTTGGCAACAATGCTGGTGAAGGAGGCCCACATGGCACAGGAAGTTGGAGATCAGCTGCCAACCTAAAGGTTGACTGAAGCTACCCAGTGGCTCTGCAGAAGGAAAGGTCAGGTGATCTGCTTCCGTAAAGACTGGTGTTGTCGTTAGGTGCCTTCAAGTCTATTTCAACTCACAGCAACCCCACCCATGCGACAGAGCGGAATCGCCACTTAGGGTTTTCCAGGCTGTGGAGCTGCTCGGTGCACTCAAATCATCAACCTTTCAGTTAGCAGCCAAGCACTTAACCGCTGTGCCAATAGGGCTCCTTCTGTAAAGATTACAGCCAAGAAAACCCTCTGTCACACATGGGATCACCATCAGTAGGGCGGGGAGAGAGACAGCAATAATACTGGTGAGTCTGTGGGGTCCTCTCACACACGAATGGTGAGGGTAGACCAGTAAATTGGTATCAACTTTTAGGAGGGTATTTTGGTAATGCCGAGTACCAATCGAAATGTGAAATGTCCTTGGGCATTAAGGAATTTCCTCCTCCTGCCAACCTCAGAGAAGGAGCTCTGGTAGAATAGTGGTTACGAATTGGGCTGCTAACCTCAGGGTCAGCAGTTCGAAACTGCCAGCTGTTCCGTGGGAGAAAGATGAGGCTTTCTGCTCCCGTAAAAAAGTCATAGCTTCACGCCAGAAATGGAGGCAGAGGCAATGACATGGACAGTGGCTGGGGACTTTAAACACAGAGAGGGAGAGGGGCTGTGTGCTGATGACTGGGGGTGGGGGGCTGGGGCGGGAAGGGCAGGCTTGCAGGATATACCCTGTGGTTGGTTGATGATGCATGGAGGGGTTTGTAACCAAGGCAATGAAATGATATACGATAGGATGAATGTAAAGCTAATGTTCTCCCATGTAAACTATCACATAATCCACAATAAAACATTAAAAAAAAATTACAGCCTCAGAAACCCTGTACAGGGTCGCTGTGAGTTGGAACCGACTCCGCAGGACATAACAACAACAACAACAACCAACCTCAGTCCCACTTAATAGAAATCAGACGGCCAATGGCAAAAAGCCAAACAAAAAAGCAAAGCTGTTTTCACCTGCCCAGAGAGAAATGAAGTCAGTCAGACCCAATAAAAAGCAGGATAAGACTTTAAAAAAAAAAAAAAAAGATTTAAAAAGTTCTTAGAGTTGGGAACGTAGAGAAGAGAAAACGCTAGTATTTATGAGGCCAGCAAGGACAGACAGTGTGAGGCTGAAAAGGTTGCTTCATCCAAGCCTACCATCACACACACATATGCAAAAGCAAATTGAGCTATTTAACAACAGAGCTACCCAAAGTTATCTTAATTACAATAATCAACCCATCACACCCAGAAAAGTGGGGGTTGCCAGCAATTAATACACACCCATACACCCACATACACAGAGAAACGGGCCTCTCTCTTCCTCTATTGAGAATGTCTACTATCAACTAGTATAGACTAAACAACATACTCACAACATACCTACACTGCCACACAAATGTCCCAACACAAGCCAGTATTGGTTCCAACAAAGTTATCCACATTTTCTACAAGTACATTATATACATTAAGAGTCTCCAGTTAGGCCAAAAGGTTGTTTCGTCCTCAGTTTCCCTCTCCCAGCCCCATCTAAACTGCCTCAACTAGTCTTTGAAATGGGGAGAACTTCCCCCATGCTTCCCACCTATCCTACCCATGGGGAGAACATGACTATGTCACTTGTCTAACAGACGGATGGGTTCAGGGTGGGTGGGAGAGAAAGAATCTGAGAGGGAATGAGTCAGCCCAAGGCAAAAGGCTGTAGGCCTGTGGGTGGGCCTCGGGTGGAAGTATTTTCTGAAAGGGAAGAAGGTCATGGGTGATGTATGTGATGGTGACTGGCAGGCCAGCCCACCCATGACAGGAGGACAGAAAAGGAACCCAGGTCTTCCTTTTCAGAAGAACCATGTTGCAGGAAGAATGGCCTCTGACTTCCCAGATCTCTGGAACCCAAGCTGAGAAGATACAGGGCGATTTAGGGCTGGTGGGGCTAAACTGAGGATAGTGTAGGCAGTCTCCCCGACCCCAGTGTGGGACCTCTGAGACCCAACCCCAAGGGCAGCATCAAAGGAGACAGACAAGAAATATTTGTTCTCCCTTCCCAAAAGGACCCTGGGATATTCAAAGGAGCCCCCTCAGGACAGGTCAAAAAATGTGAGAACAGGAAAACACACAAACACACTTATGAAAACAATCAGGAAATCTTGATGCTATTTAAGGATTGCTGATGAATTTTTATCAAGTTTGATAATGATATTGTGTATTTAAACACACTTTTTAAAAAGTCACTTTCAACAATGTTTAGAGATATATTTAACAATAAAAGAACATACTGTCTATGAATCACTTACTAATTACTTCTTAGATTACTATATTACTAAAGTAGATGCAGACAGAAGAGGTGGAAGAGGGTGAGAGGAAAGAAGACACAAAACTGGACTATGTTGACAACTGTTTGTCAGTGGTGATGGAGACATGGAGGTACATCATATTTTTCTTCCCACATTTTTATGTGTTTGAAATTTTTCAAAATAAAATGAAAATACACAGATTTAAAAGGGAGATAACGAAATTGTCTAGAGAGGATTATTCAGCAGGAACATCAAGGAAAGAAAGAGGCTGGTGCAGATTGTGTTGGCAATACACAGTTCAAGATTCATTCATGCCTCTGAAACACCTTCATAAGAAACCCACAGGCAGACAGGCTCTGGCCTAGCTTGGCCAAATCGCTGCAGTTCTGGCTGATGCTCCCTCACCCCATCCCACAGGACCAGAACATATGTGAAGACCTTCAACCAGACCCCAGGATGGGAGGATCAAATGAAGGCCTCTAGACCACACCGTACAGTGGTGGGTTACGAGACCTGAGTTCTGGTGTATCGCGTAACCCTGTGTAAACCACTAGCCGTCCTGACAATTCAGTGTTTTCAGCTGTAAAATGGGCAGACTGGCTGTTCTACCTAATGCACAACGAAATAATGGAAATGAAAGCACTTTGATGACAAGGCTTTAAGACAACATGCATGGTTACCATAGGAAGCAGGAGAAAGAGATCAAGGTAGATACTCTGGGCTCTGAAGCCAGCCTGGCTGCTGACTCTGGACCCACATCCCTGTCTGTGCAGGAAGAGAGTTAGTAAAATCTTCTGGGTCTTGGCCAGTTCAGACACACTGAGACTAGAAGCCTGGGCTGTGCCTGGGTGCTCCCAGCGGGGTACTAAGGTTAGGGTGAGCAGAGAGGGATTATCAGAAAGTTTAGGAGATGAAGGCTGAACCATAAAAGCAAATGCCAACTCCCCTGGGTTTGTCCCAGGGAAAGGTACATCTTAGCAACTTAAAAAAAATAAAATTGTGGTTGGTGGACAAGTCCCTAAATCCCAAACTGCCTCACAGAAATTATCTGGAAGGAAGATTTCCAGATTGAGTGCCAAACCCCAGCATGGCCTCCTCCCTGTCCCTCTCCAGGCCTTACATTTGATATCCTTCAGGCCTACCATCCCTGGTTCACAGATGACACAGCCCCTCCATACCAAGGTCCTAGATGGTTTTCCTCCCCTCACAAGTCCCCACACAGACAGGGCCCATTTGGGGGTTGCTTACTAAACAAATACCACCCAATGTGCAAGTTTCTCTTTCTTTATCCGGAAGCAGCACCTTATGCCCTAAACCTTACCTCTCATGCACTGAGCTCAGGGGACCTTGGGGCATGGGGACTTCACCAAAGCCAAATTTAGGCCACTGGTTACGTGGACAGGGGTGTGGACAGGCTTTCAGAGGGCAAGCCTCCAAGGGAGTATGGAGTGTGGGGCTGGTGGCCAACTGGGACCCTTAGATTATCTTCACCTGGGTAGGCCTGTGGGCATATGTATCTTTCAACAGGGACCTTTGACTAAAAAGGACCCAGGCTTTCCTCATATTTTATCTCTCCCAACGCGCGCACACACACACACACACACACACACACACACACACACACACCAGCACACCAGACATACGATCTCTAAGTATGACCGGAAAGGAAACTTGGCGACTGTGCCTCCATGTCACCAAATCCCAGTCTCTCCCCCACCCCAAAAGCTGACAGGATCACAACAGCATCAAAGAGACTAGGGGGAGATGGGCTAAGGGAGTATATGAGATGAGGGGCCGGACTATGGCCCCCACACAGTAGACATTGCCATGCCCTCCATTTTCCTGCAGGTAGGGGTGTGGCACCATAGGTTAAGCGCTCGACCTCAAAATTAGTTTGAACCGCAAGGTAGGTGGTTCAAACTCACCAAGCCCTCCTCGGAAACCCTACCCAGGGGTCGCTATGAGTCGGAACTGACTCCATGGCACACAACAACTAGGTATCAGAGTTATGTTGTCTTCTCAGATCGGGAACCCAGGTTCTCCTCTGCCCCTCAGTCCAACTTCTCAAGGTGTCTACTAATTCTGGATGGAACCAAGGGACCCCTGCCCTAAACCAAGACTACTTCTCCCACCAGCTCTCCCCCACCTCCCTTTTGAGTTCTCTGGCTTCTTGGAAGGCTGCCCTGGAGACAAATAACCCTCCCCCGTCTCCACACTCCCAGCCTCCGCCCCCAGCGTTCCCTGTCCTTACCACAAAGCCCACCCAACCTCAGAGAACTTTAAGTCAGAACTGCGAGGGAGGCCGAGGCACGCACTCGCAATGTCTAGACAGACAAAAAACGGAGAAAAAGTCCTTGTTCCGGGCGCCCCAGACTCCCCCGCCGCCCCGCCTGCCACGGCCCTCGGGGCGCGCCCACTCACCGGCCCTGCTTGGTGATGATCATCTCCGTCTGGTGCTGGTTGAACTTGGACCACAACAGGTGGTTGTTGAGCGCCACTCGCAGCTTTCCGGATACCTCGAGGCCAGCGGGCACCGCGTAGTCGGCTCGCGGCCCGGGGTAGAGGCCGGCTCGCGGGTCCGGGGCTGCGTAACCGTCCCCGGGCTGGTAGCCTTCGGCCCCCGTGGGCGGCAGAAAGGGCTCGGCGGCGCCGGGGAAGCCGGCGGCCTGGGGCCTGGCCGGGTAGGCATAGGTCCCCAAGAAGCGTCCGGGCGGTGCGGGCACTAGAGCGCTCCCGGCATAGGGAGCCCCCAGACTGCTGCCCCCGCGCCGGTCGGCAGCGTCCTGCGCCGCCGGCTCCGGGTAGAAGTAGCGGCTCTGCAGGTCGGCTCCGAGCGCCCGGCCCTCGTCGCTGGCCGGCATGGGCTCGGTGCCTGTCAGCATGGCTCCGCAGCCCGGCTCCACGATGCCCATCCGAGGCGGGCCGGGCACCTCCCCACCGCCGTCGAGGGCGCGGCCCGGCCCTCTCCACGAGCGCAAGGGAGGGCAAGGGGGTCACTGCAGCTGGGGCGCGGGGGCGGGGCAGGGGCCCCAAGTAGGGGGCCCCACGGAGCCTGACTCGGACGCCTGGGTCCTTAGCCCGCGTTTGGCCGGCGCGCAGCAGCTCCCGGCTCCCTCTCCGGCGGGCCGCTGTCACTAGCGTCGCGGCGCCTTTGCTGTGGCTTATGAAGCTCTCTGGGCCCCACCACCCGGCCACCTCGGTCCCGCCCCATTCTCCCCGCCCCCCTCGTGGCTAATACTAGGTAAGTTCTCCTCGGCCGGTGAGGACCCGCAGCCTTCCTCCCCGGCCCCCAAACCCCCACCCCCATCCCATGGTAGGGGCGAGAGAGCTCCCGCATGCTCCGTAGTAAATGCTTCAGTCCCTGCAGCGCCAGCCCGTTTCTCTCCCCTGGACCCTCGGGCAATTTCAGGCATCCAGGAAGCTCAGCTCAAAGGCCCACTCCTAGGGGAAACCTTCAGTGGTGGCCCAGATGGGGCTAGGACACTGACTGACTCAGAGCCTGCTGCGACTCTGAACGTTCAACAGATATTCTAAGTGGCTTTGCGTGATGTTTGCCCTCTTGTTGTTGTTATTGTTGTTAAGTGTCATCGAGTCGGTTCCGACCCATAGCGACCCTGTACAGGGTTTCCGAGGGTGTAAATCTTTACGGGAGTAGAAAGCCTCATCTTTCTCCCGCGGAGCAGCTGGTAGTTTCGAACCGCTGACCTTAAGGTTCGCAGCCCGATTCGTAAGTCCCCGCGAACTGTGTCTCCGGTCTCTAGACCCTCAAGCCCCAGGGTCAACCTGGAACCTGGAACGTGTGTGCAGCATGTCTTGGATGACCTTGAGACCCTAGGTAGCAGGAAGCGATTCTTAAAGGAGATTGCACTAGCTATAACCTTTGCTTTGCAGGACCCTGGGCTGAGTCAGGCGCACAACAGCTACACCACCTGTCATGGCACGTGGCATGGGCACTGACTGGCAAGAGCATGGGGCTGCGAGGACTCAGACTTCAGTCCCAGGACTAGCTCTGTGTGCCACTCAGGTACATGTGAGCTGGTCAAGTCACTTCCCTTGTCTGAAAGTCAGTTTCATGTGACCCATCAATATACTACTTTTCAGGAATAAGGATCTGTTTTTCAGAAGGGCTACTAACTCACAGGAGACCCCGTCTACTATTTCCAGTTTATTATTATATCTGGATGGAAAAGATGCTTGAAGACTTGGAGCCAGCGACAGGAAGGAAACCCACCACAGGCTCTGAAGGGCCGCATGGGTGATGGGGCTTTGGGCACTTAACTTTTCTCTATTTTCCTTTTCTGTTAATTAACATAGTTATACTACTTTTATGATGAAAGAGACCTCTTTTTCTTCCCCCAAATGAAAAGAGTCTTTGGGAGTTTTCCTGTGTATAAAGACAAAGCATATTCATATAGAAAATATAAGCAGTACAGAAGACTAAGATAATAATAAAACTTTCTGTTTCTGTTTTTTACACACACACAACTGTAATTTAACACATGTGCTCTTTTGTAATGTGTGTGTGTTCATTTTACAAGGTGTCATGGAATTTTCTGCATGTCAATATATAGATAACAATTTACATGTTTAAGTGTGCTTGATACAGTTTTCATCAAGTTCAATGTTTCTCTCTCAGCTACCCATCCCAGTCCTCCTCTGGGGACTGGCCCCATCTCTATATCTCTGTCCCAGCCCAATGGGGCTTCACCCTTAGGGCCCCAGGGGGACTCTCTGCTCCCAACTAGAGCTGAACCGAGAGGCAGGTTGGCAGGTGAAGGCAAGGCTGGGGACCCCAGGAGGCGGGCATGACCCAGGGAGGGGAGTGGAGAGAGAATCAGAAGATCCCTTGAGGATGGAGACCAGATACATGAAAACATCAGAAAACGGGACTGGCCTCCTCCCCAACCCTTCACCCTCCATTTCCCAATGCCTTAAGGAAGAGGAAAACCTCTGCCTGCCGTTCTCAGAGGGACCGCAGCACTGTTTGAAAGACATGGTGATGCTGGGACCCCTGGCTACTTTTTGGGAAGCATGAGAGATTTCACTAAGACTCCCCTGAAAGAATGATCTGCCCGAAGACATGAGACTGTTAAAGCTAACACCTCTTTGGGGAAGACATTTTTACTAAATGCTTGGTTGGGCATGGCCAGCTGGGGGTCTTCTTCCTCTCTGCCTCTCCCCCTCTTAACTTCCACCCTAGTCTTCACATGAAGCATCCCATCCTCCTGCCATTGAGGAGGGTGGCCAGGTTCTGTCTCCAGGACAGAAAGAGTTATAAAGATCAGAGTCAGGTGGACGTGGGACATGTGTCTGGAGGAACGGCTGAGAGGGCATTCTCTCTATAATCCAGTGGAATGATGGGTTGTTAGAGGGTCTTACAGCCTGGCTTATCAACCCCAGATCCTTCACCCCCCCTTCCTCCAATTGCTTCCACCCAAAAAAGAAAGTGCTTGTGAAAAGCGGGGGCTGAGTGGCCCTGGTGTCAGTCCCGCCCCTCTGCCAGCTTGGGTGAGAAGAAGAACCCTAGCAGTCACACCTCCTCCTGTCGCCTCCCTCCCTCCCAGGGCCCCAGGGCTGGAGAGGTGGGAAAGGGGGCTGGAGGAGAAGGCCCCCTGGGATCCCCTCATTTCCCTAACACTATCCGCCCCGCCCCTGCCTGGCTCCCCTCTCATCCCATGAACACACTGAACTTCCAGAAGTCTGGCCTAGAAAACAAGCTAAAGAAACACAGACAGGGTGTCGGGATTGGGAGGGACATGGGCTCCAACAAATATCAAATATAAGAGACTGGCTGGATGGGAATCTGAATGAGGTACCAAATTCACATACCACATTCGGGGCAAAACCAGGGCTGGGATTCAGGAGTCTTGCCTCCTAGCCCACAAGAAGGAGTTGTTGACGAAACAATTTTAGGATTTGAGAGGGAACAATAATACTAAATGAGAAGTCACATTAGGAAAGCTTGGAAACCAGAAAATTGCCCATAATCCACCAGCCTCCTCACCGGCTTTCTTCCCTGTGTTCGTGCATGTATTCAAGGCTTCTTTTTATACCCTTTCCCATCAGGACTGAACGTAAGTGAGAGACTCCTCCCAGGTCACACAGTACGTATGTATGTATCAGGGAGTATTGAATTGTAGATTCCTGGAGCCCACCTCTAGAGAAACTGAGGCCTGGCAGGCCTGGGAAACTCTACTTTTAAGAACAATTACAGGGAAGGCACGGATAATGCACTCAACAATAAGGTCGGTTTGAACCAAAAGGTTGGCGGTTCAAACCCATCAGTCACTCCTTGGAAACCCTAGACAGGGTTGCTGTGAGTCAGAACGACTTCATAGCACTTAATAACAACAGGGAATCCATGCAGTCCCCTCTTAGGTCCCTCCCACTTTGCTCTCCCACCTCCAAGTCCCTTGAGTTTGCTTGGTGGAGTCTCCTAGGTTGTAAAAAGAGATTTTAATACCCAAGGAGGGTGGCTATGGGCACTGAAAAGATTTCAGGACTGGACACTCCACACCCCAGAAGCAAACAGTCACCTGGATCCTCTCCTTCAATTGTTTAATGGAGTCCTGGTGTGGCTCTGTTTGATAAGCACTGGACTGCTAGTGGCAAGGTTGGCAGTTCAAACCCACCAGTCCCTCTTTGGAAACCCTACACAGGGCCACTCTGAGTTAAGATAGACTGGATACAACAACAAACAACATAGGGACCCGGGAGGCTCCTGAACAGGCTCCAATTCCTTGGGGAAGGATTGCTGGGGTAGGGGTGGGGGCGCAGAACTGGTGAAGGGTATGCAGAGGGGCACCAGCACTCAAGAGTTTTGCCCTTCCTTCTCTCCCCTCCTCTGGGCACAGCCTTGGAGGTTTAAGAGGGGAGATAAGCAAAAGAGAGGGGGCGGTGTGTTGGGGGTGAGACCTGAAATGAAAGAGAGCCAAGTAAGGGGCCTGGGTTTCTGGAATTTAGAGATGGAGAAGGCCAGGGGCCACAAAGTTAGAGACCCAGAATATGACTCAGTTAAAAAGTCTTGCAGGGAAGAGGGGGTGTAAGAAAGGGAGAGAGAGATGGGCCAGAGAGAGACAGGAGAAAGGCCTGTGGGGTACTGGAGCCTGGAGCAGGTGGGTTTCCTTGGGGGTTGGGTTGAAACCCCACTTCACTCCTCACTGGCTGTGTGACCCAAGTATCTGAAGCACTCTCGGTTTCCTTCTTTGTAAATGAAGCTAATAGGCCTTCTGCCAGGACTAACTGAGTCTCAAGTGAGATGTAAGGGAGCTAAACCCTGAAGGGTCAGTCCTAGGCAGAAGCAAAGAAAAGTTGCAAGCTGAGCCAAAGTGCCCCTCTTTCCTCCAGTTCAAACTAGCTGCCATCTCCCCTATTTTCCTCTCTTAGTGGCTTATCCCTTGGTCCCCACAAAGTACCCCTATTATCCAACCTCCAGTTTCCACTCAAGGCCTTGGGCCCATCTCAGAAAGGGACAGAAATTACAGGCTTTCCCACATGATCCCCCTCATGATCCCAAAACCCTGAGGACTCCAAGCTCATGCCCCTAGCTTGGTGACACTGGGTGCCTGAGTTCTCAATAGAGCTCCTCAGCCCTCAGGTGTGGACTCACAAAGTACACAAACACATACCTAGGGAAATCCCCAGGGTCTAGTCCCTGTAGTCCCACCTCCTTCTCTTTCTTGTCTCTTGTCCAGGCTCCCTGAGCTCCTCAGGCACCTGACTCTGCCCACCCCCTCTGCACCTGCCCAACTCCAACTCCAGGCCCAGACTGCCAGTCCTTCAGAGAGCATGGCCGGAACCATCAGATTAGCAGCCAGGGATGGGGAAGGGGGGGGCAAGCACCTGTAGAGCCCCCTCCCTCCATGACAGCTGCAGGAGTTCTGGAGTTCTGAGTTCCCAGTGCCCAGTGCCACCACTGTGATCACAGTGTGGAGGGCTCATCCCAAGGTCAA